TATGAACTGAGTGCCTTTCTTGTGTCTGGGCTAGGCATGGGGCCAGGAATCTGTGACTCTAAGCAGCTGCTTGCTGGGAAATAAAGGTGGGAGGAAGGGAATAAATAGGTTGGCCGATAGAACCACAAGGAAAAGCTGCATTCTGTCAAGGAAGAACCCTAGTCCTTGAGCAGGGGCTGAGGCTGCAGGAGGCAGAGGACAGTTCAGAACAGGGATTGGGGAGTGTTGGGGAACAGAGGAGTCAGATTGGCTTCTCAGTCTAGGTAGTGACAGCTTTGGCTAGAGGAGAGGGATTTCCCTCCCCCAGCAAGGCAGGGCTCTGAATAGGGCTAAGCTGGGAAGGGTAGGGCAACACCTCTCCCCTTGGGCTTTATCAAAATTCTACCGTAGTGAATGCTAAATCTGCCAGAGCCCAGAAGGGCTATTTAGGACATGACACCAGAAATCCAGATTCAGTTAATTTGGTGCATTTTCAGGAATGAGGTTGGGGGATGAGGGAATTGGGATAGTGAAGAGGTTGACCTTGAGCAGACATTTAAATTTGTAACAAGCTGGCTGGGTTAGATGGCTCATGACTGTAATCCTAGCACTGTGGGAGGCCAAGGTGGGAGGATCCCTTGAGGTCAGGAGTTCAAGACCAGCCTGAGCAACATGTTGAAACCCTGTCTCTACTAAAAATACCAAAAATTAGCCAGGTGTGGTGGTGGGCGCCTACTGTCTCACCTACTCAGGAACCTGGGAGGCAGTGGTTGTAGTGAGCCAAGATCGTGCCACTGCACTCCAGCCTGGGTGAGACAGTGAGACTCTGTCTCAAAAAAATAAATAAACAGGCCAGGCGCGGTGGCTCAAGCCTGTAATCCCAGCACTTTGGGAGGCCCAGGTGGGTGGATCCTGATCAACATGGTGAAACTCCATCTCTATTAAAAATACAAAAAATTAGCTGGGCATGGTGGTGCGTGCCTGTAATCCCAGCTACTCAGGAGGCTGAGGCAGGAGAATTGCCTGAACCCAGGCGGCGGAGGTTGTGATGAGCCGAGATTGCACCATTGCACTCCAGCCTGGGTAACAAGCGGGAAACTCCGTCTCAAAAATAAATAAATAAATAAAAATACATTTCTTTTTCTTTTTTTAAATACCGGGTTTCACCATGTTGGTCAGGCTGGTCTTAAACTCCTGACGTCAGGTGATCCGCTCACCTTGGCCTCCAAAGTGCTTGGATTACAGGCATGAGCCACTACACCCAGCCTTAAAAAATATATTTCTAACAAGCCCTTTAGAGATTCTGGTGCAAGGAAGCTGGGGGGAACTCCATCTAATCCTCTCATACAGGTGACTCCTGGAAAACTGAGAAGCAGCTCCTCCTCTAACCTAATCTAAATCCTTTCGGCTGCCACTGTAATCTCACCCTGCCTTGCCTGACTTTTTTGGTCAGGAATAAAATGCTCCTAAACTTTTTTGATTTCTGCTGTTGGATTTAGGCCAGTGAAAATAAGGCACCCCAGAGGTTAACTGAAATTCGAGCTTATCATTATTTGCAGTTCATTCCTTGCTATCCTGGACCTTGTTGTCTCCTCTCACTGTGAACTATGAATTCAGAGGAACTTCTGGGTCACTCCAGCAAGGGAAGACAGCTGATTCCAGGAGAGAGGACTGCCATTCTCTTGTTTATTTATTAAAAATGTGTTTAGACCAAGTCGATGGCTATATGGAGCAACTGAAACTCCCCTACACTGCTGCTGGGAATGTTCAGTGGAGCAATCACTTGGGAAAACTGTTTGGCAGTTTCTTGTAAAATTAAAACATAGACTTACTATATGATCCAGCAATCCCACTTTCAAGTATTTATCTGAGAGAAATAAAAACATATATCCCCTGGCTGGGCGCGGTGGCTTACGCCTATAATCCCAGCACTTTGGGAGGCCAAGGGAGGTGGATCACGAGGTCAAAAGATCGAGACCATCCTGGTCAACATGGTGAAACCCTGTCTCTACTAAAAATACAAAAAATTAGCTGGGCATGGTGGTGCGTGCCTGTAGTCCCAGCCACTCGGGAGGCTGAGGCAGGAGAATTGCCTGAATCCAGGAGGCAGAGGTTGCGGTTAGCCGAGATCGCGCCATTGCATTCCAGCCTGGGTAGCAGGAGCGAAACTCCGTCTCAAAAACAAAACAAAAACAAAAACCATATATCCCCAAAGACTTGCATGAGAATGTTTATTACTGCTTAAACTAGAATCAATTTTTTTTTTTTTTTTTTTGAGGCAGGGTCTCACTCTGTTACCCAGGCTGGAGTGCAGAGGCGCCATCTCAGCAACCTCTGCCTCCCAGCCTCAAGCAAGCAAGTGTCTCACCTTAGCCTCCTAAGTAGCTGGGACTACACGTGTGAACCACCATGCCTGGCTAAATTTTTATAGTTTTTATAAAGACTGGGTTTTGCACCGGCCTCGACCTGCCAAAGTGCTGGGATTATAGGGGTGAGGCACCACGCCTGGCCGAAAACTAGAATCAGTTCTAACGTTTGTCAGTATAAACTGTAACATATCCATGTGCTATGCTACTTGGCACTGAAAAGAAATAGACTTGATATGATCAACAGCATAGATGAACCTCAAAAACACTATGCTGAGTTAAAACATGTTATTCATAAAAGGACACACTGTATGGTTCCCTTTGTTCTTAGTATAAGTACTTAATACATTAATATACTTAATTCATATTAATACACATTTTTCTGATTGTTTTTTAATCTTTAATGATTGTGCTTTCTTTTGAACTCCAGTAAGTTTTGTTATTAAAAGGTAACATGCAATGTAAGTGCTTAAGACATGTGTGTAGATTAATAACTATTTACTAATGAATACATCTGTGTTACTAAATAATTTCTACTTTGTAGATAAAAATATAAACATTTCTAGAAAATCTTTCTCATATCTCCTTGCAGTGTATACCCTCTGAATGGAACTAGTTACTTACTTCTCTCACTTTAGGTTAGTTTCCCTGTTTTTGAACTTCATATGTTGGAATCACACAAATTGTACTGCATATTTAAACTCAGCGTCTTATTTTGTTATAAATATTGCTTTGTTAGATGCTTTTTTTTTTTTGAGACGGAGTTTTGATCTTTTGACCCAGGCTGGAGTGCAGTGGCTTGATTTTGGCTCACTGAAACCTCCACCTCCTGGGTTCAAGAGATTCTCCTGCTTCAGCCTCCCAAGTAGCTGGGATTATAGGTGTCCACCACCACTCCCAGCCAATTTTTGTATTTTTAGTAGAGACGGGTTTCACCATGTTGGCCAGGATGGTCTCAAACTCCTGACCTCAGGTGATCTGCCCACCTTGGCCTCCCAAAGTGTTGGGATTACAGGCGTGAGCCACTGCACCTGGCCTGTTAGATGCTTTTCTTGCTTAGTACTGTCTCATGAACATTGCCATGATATGATATGATATGATATGATATGATATGATATGATATGATATTAATTTATTTTTGAGACAGGGTCTTGCTCTGTCCTCCAGGCTGGAGTGCAGTGGCATGATCAGGGCTCTCTGCAGCCTCTGCTTCCTGGGTTCAAGGGATCTTTCCACCTCAGCCTCCCAAGTAGGTGGAACCACAGGTGTGCACTGCCACGCCTGACTAATTTTTGTATTTTTTGTAGCGATGAGGCTTCACCATATTGCCGAGGCTGGTCTCTAATTCCTTAGATCAAGAGATCCACTCACATTGGCCTCCACATTTTGCAATTATAATCTGCAATGGAATCATAATTTTTTTTTATTAATTTTTTTTTTTTTTGAGACGGAGTTTCGCGCTTGTTACCCAGGCTGGAGTGCAATGGCCCGATCTCGGCTCACCGCCACCTCCGCCTCCTGGGTTCAGGCAATTCTCCTGCCTCAGCCTCCTGAGTAGCTGGGATTACAGGCATGCGCCACCATGCCCAGCTAATTTTCTGTATTTTTAGTAGAGACGGGGTTTCACCATGTTGGTCAAGCTGGTCTTGAACTCCCGACCTCTGGTGATCCACCCGCCTTGGCCTCCAAAGTGCTTGGATTACAGGCGTGAGCCACCACACCCGGCAGAATCATAATTTTAAATTGCTGTATTGTTTATAATATGTGCTTGGTTATACTTATATAACTATTTTCTCCTTTATTGTACCTGAGGTAAGAGAAGCTCAGGGAATCCATTAAGGCAGCAAGTGAAGAAACTAGCCCTCAAACCTGCATGTCAGACTCTCATTCTTCCACTGCAAAAAAGCAAAGTGCTCAAATATGGTCACCTGTCTTGGAGAAGCCTTACATAAGGGCATTATGATAGCAACAAGAATGACTAATAAGTATTAATGGCCCATGACAAGAGAACAAATATTAATTATCTCAATATATTAGGCATATTAGTAATGTTTGCACAGAATTATTCATGCAAATATTATTAGCCTGTGTCGGGGACAGTTGTTAAACTCAGCAACAGGCTCACAGCTGAGCTCCCAGCCTCAAGGTTCCAGATGTGCAGGGGCCAGGGCTTTCAGGGACACGCCCCCTGGGCCTCTGGGGAACCAATTGACGCGCAGCAGGCGGGGCCCTGGGAGCGACAATAGTGTTATCCAATGGAACGAGAGCCGGAGCCGCCCCTGGCCAATGGGCGCGCTCCTCCGCGATGGGCGGAAGTGGTGAGGCAGCTCTGGGGGCCGTTGTTCGGTGCTGGGGCTGACAGAGGAGGCTCGGTGTCTACAGCTAGCAAGTCAACGTTTCTCCTCTTGTCCCTGGTGAGGTGTAGCGGCGGCACACGGCTGGAGAGCTCCTGTGGCCTCCAGTTCAGGAAGGGTCCGGCATCCCAAGGGAGGGTGTGTGGGCATAGGGGTCTCTGGGCCCGGGGTCGCGGCTGTGAATAGAGGATGCCGGCGCGTCTCAGGCACCTGGAGAAGGCCGCGCTTTCTTCTTAGGAAACCGGGGCCTCAACGGCGCCCAATGACGCCGCCCCCTTCGCGGCCTAGGTTAGCCCGGGGAACTGGGAAGCGGGCGTCGTCCGCAGCGCCGGGTGGAGCTGGGCTCGGGGCCGGCCTGGGCCTAGAGCCCGAGTCTCGAGCTGCCGGCGTTGGGGGTCGCGAGTGGCCTAGTGCGGCCTCGAGGCCGAAGGATCCGAGTCGGAGCTCCCACTCCGACCCGCTGGTGCTGCGGAAAACTCAGGTGGCCTTCCGCTTTCGTAGCCTCTAAAGTGGGGATCAAGACTTTCACTTCATAGGATTGTGGTCGGGATTAAAAGATTGTCCCGGTAAGCGTTTGGCAATTGCTATTGTTTGAGAAGCCGCTTACTTCTTCACTCCCCATCACCAACTTTGCTGGGGAAGGGGGCGATTGGAAACCGCCTTGGGGGGTCTAGACCCAGCCGTGGAAGCTCCGGCGCCTCGGGCAGAGGGACGGTCCCCTCTGCAGACCCGAGACATTTGGCCGACCCCCAACGGTCTCCTTATCAGCTTGAAGACTTTTCTGTACCTCAACTCTTCCATACATTCGCCCATTTTCTTGAGCCCTTGATGTATTTTCAGTCCTCTGCCTGAAGAATCTGAGGCTCAGGGAGGTTAAATCTGGCAGAACCAGCCAGAACTTGACCCCCAGAGGGGGACCCTGCAGGCCACCCCTAGTCTCCTTGCAGCTGAAAAAGCGGGCACCTGCCACGTCTGAGCTCTGGCCGTAGTTTAGAGTTGGCCACTTAGTAGGCTGGAATAGAACACACCTGAAATCAGTCGAACAGCCCTGAAAAAGGTATCTAGGCCAGCCATCCCTAGTTGCAATTTCATATCAGAGTGAATATCTTTTTTTTTTTTTGGATTTGGAGTCTCCTGTTGTTAAGGCTGGAGTGCAGTGGTGAGATCTCCGATCACTGCAACCTCCGCCTCCCGGGTTCAAGTGATTCTCCTGCCTCAGCCTCCTGAGTAGCTGGGATTACAGGCGCGCCTCACTGGCTGATTTTTGTATTTTTAGCAGAGACTTGGTTTCACCATGTTGGCCAGGCTGATCTCGAACTCCTCACCTCCAGTGATCCGCCCACCTCGCTCTCCCAAAGTGCTGGGATTACAGGCCTGAGCTGCCGCACCTGGCCCAGAGTGGTTATCTTGAATCATGTCATTCCCTAGTTTAAAGGCCGTTAGTGATTTACTGTTGAGCTGGGGATCTAATACAATATTCTTTCTGTTTTATATGAAAAGACCTCCTCGAGTCATTCCCCTTTTTTATTATGCTCTTCCAGATCTACCTTTACTTTCTCTTTCATTGCTTTTAGGCCTTGTGCCCTTCCTGCTGCCTGGATGGATTTTCCCCCATTCCCATCCTCTGTCTTGTCTTTTCATAGTTGGCTCTTGTACTTCAGTTCTTAGTTTAAATGTCGTCTCTCCAGAAAGTTCTTCCCTGACCACTCTTATCTAACTAGAGAAGATTTGCATTTACTCCACCCCATTTATTTCTAGTTTTTTGTATTTTGTATGTATTTTTTTGCTTATTGTTTTTCTCTACCACTAAATTGCTTTTTCAGACATGATATTTCCTTAGTTTGTGAAGTATTCTTAATGCCAAAGCACAATGGCACACAGTATGGTCTGGGACTGCCTGGACCTCCTCTACTTCCCACTTCAGCCTCCCAAGTAGCTGAGATTACAGGCATGTGCCATCACACCCACCTACTTTTTTGCTTACTTTTTATAGAGATAGGGCCTTACTATGTTTCCTGGCTGGCCTTGAATTCCTGCGCTCAAGTGATCCACCCAACCCAGCCTTCCAGAGTGCTGGGATTACAGGTGTGAGACACTGCACCTGGTCCACAGTATTGTCCTTTTTTTATTTTTATTTTTTTGAGACAGAGTCTTACTCTGTTGCTCAGGCTGGCGTGCAGTGGCCCAATCGCTCACTGCAACCTCCACCTCCTGGGTTCAAGCAGTTCTCCTGCCTCAGCCTCCTGAGTAGCTGGGTTTACAGGTGCCCACCACCACACCCCACTAATTTTTGTATTTTTAGTAGAGACTGGGTTTTACCTTGTTGTCTAGGCTGGTCTCGAACTCCTGACCTCAAGTGGTCCACCTGCCTTGACCTCCCAAAGTGCTGGGATTACAGGCACAGTATTGTCTTAATTAAACATATTGAACAAATGACTACATGTTTTGAAAAGTGGTAGTTGGCTTAATGCCAAAACCATTAAAGAACCCTATTGGGGGCAGGATTTAAGACCATTTTTGTATCATGGAAAGGAATAATCTAAACAATGGTAGTAAAGTTGCCAGTGCTTTGCTTTCTGCATGGACATCTTGTTTAAAAAGGAGGAGAAACTTCATAGTGAAGAAACTTGGCAGCCACCATATCAACTATGTGATCAGAGTTTACATCAATAGTAAAATGAGATTGTTGACATCATGTATCTTCTGATACAAGGCGCTGAAATGAGCACAACATGATTTCTTTTTTGAGAGGGAGTCTTCCTCTGTCACCAGGTTGGAGTGCAGTGACATGATCTTGGCTCACTGCAATCTCTGCTTCCCAGATTTTTTTTTTTTTTTTTGAGACAGTATCTTGCTCTTTCTCCAGGCACCAGGCTGGAGTGCAGTGGTGTGATCTTGGCTCACTGCAACCTCTGCCTCCCGGGTTCAAGCAATTCTCCTGCCTCAGCCTCCCGAGTAGCTGGGACTATAGGCGCACACCACCATGCCCAGCTAATTTTTGTATTTTAGTAGAGACATGGTTTCACTATGTTGACCAGGATGGTTGCGATCTCTTGACCTTGTGATCTTCCCACCTCAGCCTCCCAAAGTGCTGGGATTATAGGCATGAGCCACTGTGCCCAGCCTCCGCTTCCCAGGTTTAAGTGAGTTTCCTGCCTCAGCCTCCCAAGTAGCTGGGATTTGTACCACCATGCCCAGCTAATTTTTGTATTTTTAGTACAGACGGTGTTTCACCAGCACAACATGATTTCTATGGTGTTCTTGCTTAAATTGTATAACTTGAATTTAATCATGAGAAAATATCAGACAAACCCAAATTGAAGGACATTATATAAAATAACTAGTTGGCTGGGCACGATGACTCACACCTGTAATCCTAGCACTTTGGGAGGCTGAGGTGGGTGGATCATCTGAGGTCAGGAGTTTGAGACCAGCCTGGCCAATATTGTGAAACCCTGTCTCTACTAAAATACAAAAATTAGCTGGGTATGGTGGTGTACACCTGTGGTCCCAGCTACTTGGGAGGCTGAGGTGGAGGTTGCAGTGACCTTGGTTGCATCACTGCACTCCAGCCTGGGCAACAGAGCAAGACTCCGTCGCAAAAAAAAAAAAAAAAAAAAAAAAGTAGTATGCTTAACAACGTCATGAAAGAGAAGGAAAAATTGAAGAACTCTACCAGATCAAAGGAGATTAAGTACAAGTAACAGCTAAATGCAATGTGTGATCTTAGATTGAATACGGAACCAGAAAAAGGGTGGGATGGTGATTTTTGTTTTTTTTTAGACAGGGTCTTACTCTGTCACCCAGGCTAGGGTGCAGCGGTACAATCACTGCTCACTGCAGCCTTGACTTCCTAGGCTCAAGTGATCTTCCCATCTAAGCCTTCTGTGTAGCTGGGACCACAAGTATGTGCCACCACATCTGGCTAATTTTTAAATTGTTTGTAGAGAAGGGGTTTCACCATGTTGCCCAGGCAGATCTTAAACTCCTGGGTTCAAGCAATCCTCACAGCTCACCTCCCAAAGTCTCCAGGCTGGAGTGTAGTGGTGCGATCTTGGCTCACTGCAACTTCCAGTTCTCTAGTTCAAGTGATTCTCCTCCCTCAGCCTCCTGAGTAGCTGTGATTACAGGCACATGCCACCATGCCCAGCTAATTTTTGTATTTTTAATAGGGACGGGGTTTCACCTTGTTGGCCAGGATAGTCTTGATCTTCTGACCTCGTGATCCGCCTACCTCGGCCTCCCAAAGTGTTGGGATTATAGGTGTGAGCCACTGTGCTGGACTGGGATATTATTATTATTATTATTATTATTATTGAGTCTGCCCATTATTATTGTTATTTTTGAGATAGGGCTTCACTCTGTTGCCCAGGCTGGAGTGCAGTGGCATGATCATGGCTCACTGCAGCCTTGAACTCCCAGGCTCAAGCATTCTTCCTGAGTATTCCTCCTGCCTCAGCCTCACTAGTAGCTGGGAATACAGGTGCCGCCATCCCTGGATAATTTTTTTTTGTATAGTTGGGGTTTCCCCATATTTTGGCCAGGTTGGTCTTGAACTCCTGGGCTCAAGTGATCCGTCTGCCTTGGCCTCTCAAAATACTGAGATTGCAGGCATGAGCCACAGTATCCAGCCTAGTAAAAGTATTTTATTATTTTTATTTTTTAAAAGTCCCTCATCTAATAAAATTATTTTAAATTGAAAATTTTAAGAAAATCCCAAGGGCGGATTTCTTGAATAAAATACTTTAACACACAGGTTTGTCTGACATTTTCTGTATTACTAGTGTTTTATTTTGTTTTTTGCATGTCATCTTTAAAGCAGAAATGAAAGAGAAAGTTCATGTCTTCCCTTATGGTTTTCAGGAAGAGCTAAAGATGGCTGAATTTCTAGATGACCAGGATACTCGACTGTGTGACAACTGGTAAGACATTAAATCTATGAAATGTTAGTGGAATGACAACACACTAGTTTCTGTAAAGGGTTGGCTGATTTAATGGTAGGTTAAAATTGGAGCCATACAATATTCTGTACAAATAAATGGTACTAGAGATTTTTAACAATTTTGGATAAACTGCCTGTTTTAGTAATTTGATAAGATGGTTGGTTTACACAGAATAAAGTAGTGCTAGAGCAATAGGATGAGTCTGGGAGACTGTAGTTCCTGTCCTTAATTAATGACCTTTGGCAAATCACCTTACTGCTTTGGAGTCTCACTTTTCTTTTCTTTGTTTTTGTTTTTTTGAGAGGGAGTCTCACTCTGTCCCCCCGGGCTGGAGTGCAATGGTGTGATCTTGGCTTACCATAACCTCTGCCTCTTGGGTTCAAGCAATTCTCCTAATTCTCCTGTCTTAGCCTCCTGAGTAGCTGGGATTATAGGCACCCACCACCACACCGGGCAATTTTTGTAGTTTGTAGTAGAGACAGGGTTTCACCATGTTGGCCAGGCTGGTCCTGAACTCCTGACCTCAGGTAATGCACCCGTCTCTGCCTCCCAAAGTGTTGGGATTACAGATGTGAGCCACCGCTTGCAGCCTTTACTTTTCTTACCCATAAATACATGAATTTATTTTTTGTACGTCTGACAATGTATGTTTTTTTCTTTTTTTTTATTGTTGTATGTTTTTTAAAATGATGATAAAGTGTTTGGACTAGATCAGTGTTTTTCATTTTGTTTTTTTTGAAACAGGGTCTCCCTGTGTTGCCCAGGCTGGAGTGCGGTGTCATGATTTTAGCTCACGGCAACCTCCACCTCCTGGGTTCAAGCAATTCTCCTGCCTCAGCCTCCCAAGTAGCTGGGATTACAGGCGCCCGCCACTACACCTGGCTGAGTTTTGTATTTCTAGTACAGATGGGGTTTCACGATGTTAGTCAGGCTGGTCTCCAACTCCTGACCTCAGTTGATCCGCCCACCTCGGCCTCCCAAAGTGCTGGGATTACAGGTGTGAGCCGCAGCACCTGGCCAGTCAGTGTTTTTCAAAGTATGATGCAAAAATTTCCCTTTTCTTGGAAGTAAGGTTTAATGAGTTTGGTTCTACATCTAGTGACAGAGCAGTTCATCTAGATTAGCTCTGTCTTAACTCTCTTTTTTTGTTTGTTTGAGAGGGAGTCTCACTCTGTCACCCATGCTGCAGTGCAAAGGTGCGATCTCAGTTCACTACAACCTCCATCTCCTGGGTTCAAGCGATTCTCCTGCCTCAGCCTCTCAAGTAGCTGGGATTACAGATGCCTGCCACCATGCCCAGCTAATGTTTTGTACTTTTAGTAGAGACAGGGTTTCACCATGTTGGCCAGGCTGATCTTGAACTCCTAGGCTCAGGTGATCCACCCACTGCAGCCTCCCAAAGTGCTAGGATTACAGGCATGAGCCACTGTGCCCAGCCTTTAACTCTCATTATAAGGGATTTTACTGCTTGTAAAAAAAAAAATGGTGTAGTTGAATTTTTTTTTTTTTTTTTAAAGACAGAGTCTTCCTCTGTTGCCCAGGCCAGAGTGGAGTGGCACAGTCACAGCTCACTTGCAGCCTTGACCTCTTGGGCTCCATTGATCTTCCCACCTCAGCCTTCTGAGTAGCTGAGACTACAAGCATGCAACACCATGCCTGGCTAATTTTTAATTTTTTTTTAATAGAGATGGGGGTTTTACTATGTTGCCCAGGCTAGTCTAGTCAAATTCTTACGGCAGTTAAGCTTAATCACTATCATTTTGTTGTAATTGAGTGAGTTAGAAGGAATGTGTCACGTTTTGAGTTTTAAATTAAGAGGTTTTTTAACTAGTTAGTGACTGAGAGACGGCTAATGTTTAAAGTTTTTTCGGCCCCAAGGAAGGGGCCTGATTATTTTTAATATCTTGATTTAGGTAGGGGAGGGGAGTATCTAGCTGAAGCAGAATTTTATAGAAGTAGAAAAGCAGGTTAGAGGAAGGGGCTGTGGGCACAGGTGGTTTTTATATGATTATTAAGGGGGCGATTAGGCTTTTTAAATTTAATGATTAAAGGGGAAATTTTTTTTATAATAGTAATGGGGAGGTATGCCAAGCAGGATGCGGTTACAATGGTTACAAGTGTTAAGAACAGTAGGTTTTAATGTTTCTAAGTACAGCATGACGCAGTTATATACTCAAAGGGGCTGTGGTAAGGAGAGGGAAGCCATGTTGGCATTTACAATTAAAATAGAGTCAGTTATGCCAGCCCAGGGTAGGTTATTACAATTTCATGATTCAAAAACTTAGTGAAGACTGGCACAGTCTTGAATGTTAAGCTTTCTATTTTGGTGTTTATAACCCACGTGAATTACAAGAAAGAACATCTCTTTCCTGATAAAATGAAACCAGTTATAAAGTTAATCAGCTGGTTCCTGTTGGGGATTTCCTAAGAACTTATCTTGGTGTATTGGCACTATACAAGTGCTCTTACTGTAAGCTGATTAAAAAAGCAAAGCGGAACAGTCTGCTATGTTTATTACTTTGTTTTATTTTCCTTCACTGGGTACTTCTTTCACAATGTGCTATGTTTAACTTACAAACTGTGGTGGAAAGAGATGTTTAATAAGGAAAATAGTTTGACCCATTGGTGGACTATTTGAGTCAAATAACGTTGTTGTTGTTGTCTTTTTTTTCCAGCCTAACTTTGGCAGAATTAGGATATAATTAGAGCAACGACTAGTTACAATATTATTTATCTGCTTGGAATTAAGATTTTATCTTGTTGAAGGTGTCTTGCCATATTATAGGGTATTTCTGCTATGCCATTATCACTTTCTGCCATTTCGTAAACTATTTTAGTTTTGTTTGGGTTTTATATGTATAGCTACTGATACAGAGTAATCAGTGAAACAAATAATCACAAGAAAACATGATTTTATAAGATGACAGACACATTGGTTTTAGCATTAGTTGAGATACACCTGTCTTATTAGTCCACTCCAATTAGGAGGAATCTCAAGCGTAGGACATAAAATAAATAACTATGCGAAGAGAGTTAAAGCATGAGTTAATGGAAAGCTAGTGAAAAACAAGGTTATTCAAAGCCAAAGAAATTAAAGAAAAAAGCAGATTAGCATAGAAGGCTGACTAAACCTGTAAAGAATTGATTTCTGGCTGTGTTTAGTGTTTGGAAGCCTCTTGGGAATTTTTCTAGAAGCTTTGGTTTGCCTTTCAGTCATTTCTATCTAAATGAAATTTTACCCCTAGCCCTTAATTGAGACTTTTCGCAGTTTTATCTAGATATGGAATTGTGTACTCATTTATCTCATTTAAAACATCTTCCTTTTATCTGAAGGTAGGAAGTAAGTATATTAGTATTTTGTCTGGTTGGAATGTTTCATAGGAATATGTTGGCAGTTCAATTTTAAAAGAAAAAGCCCAACAGGCAACTGTTTTATATAATTGTTGCAAATATCTTTAATGCTTTGTGGTCTTACCTGACAGCTGCTTTTTATTCTTGCTGCTTCATATTATGATGGAGTAGTTCTTAATATTTTTTGTTTTCATTCTAAAGTTTTAATGGCCTTGTGTATGTAGTATATTTGATGTCAACAAGTTATCCTTAACAGCCTTGTAAAATAAACACTAGCCATTTACTGTCTTCATTTTTGCTACTAAAATAAAATTATTCCCAAAATTATGAAAAAGGAACCCAGGTTTTCTTCACCCTAAGCAGTAATTACTGGCTTTAATTTTCATGGCATTTAAACAAACATGATTTATAACCATAATATAGTATGCTTCTTTTACTTTGTTGTTGTACCATATATAACTTAGCGATTCCTTTCTTGCTTAGGTATTTTTAATGACTTTCATTTTTTAGCATTCTATGATACTGTAATGAAAATATTCATACATAATCTCAAGAGTGGGATTATTGTATTATAGAGTATATAATTTTATGGTCCTAGACATGCATTTTCAGACTGTTTTTAGGCAGTTTATACTATTACCGGTAATGTATTAAGATATTAGTTTCACAACATCTTTAAAAAGTTGGGATTTATTATTTTAACTGTATTAATTCAAAATGAGTGCTTTCCTTAGAAAGCTAGAAATTTGAGAGAAGTATGGGAAGTTAAGTATCAGGTCATTGTAATTTATCCCTTTATCCATTTGAGTTTTCTTCCCATCTCTCACCTTCCAGTGCTGCCTTGAGAGCTGCCTTGAGGTTCCTAGCTTGATAATTCCACCACTGGTTGATAATGAATTTGCAATTTCTTGGTGTCTTGGTCTTTCAGATTGGAAGAATGACTATAGCTGGAGGCACATCATTTATTGTACTTCGAAATGTTTCTTAGACAATGTCTGAATAATAAAGGTTATTAAAAGAGAAATAAGCTATTTATAACTTAATGTGGGAGTTTCTCTAGTATTCAGCTTCAGAGGCAAAATATGATATTAAATAATTTGTTTTATAACTGTATTGATTCTGTTCATTATTTTATTTTTCTGAATCATTATTATTTTAGGTGCCTCCTTTTTTTTTTTTTTTTTTTTTGAGATGGAGTTTCACTCTCGTTACCCAGGCTGGAGGGCAATGGTGCGATCTCGGCTCACTGCAACCTCCGCCTCCTGGGTTCAGGCAATTCTCCTGCCTCAACCCCCTGAGTAGCTGGGATTACAGGCATGCGCCACCATGCCCAGCTAATTTTTTGTATTTTTAGTAGAGATGGGGTTTCACCATGTTGACCAGGATGGTCTCAATCTTTTGACCTCGTGATCCACCTGCCTCGGCCTCTCAAAGTGCTGGGATTACAGGCTTGAGCCACCGGGCCCGGCTAGGTGCCTTATTTAATGTACTCTTTAGCTGGTGAAATTGGAATTTTACAATCGTCCTATCCAAATGAGTAAAAGTAAGGCCTTAGAATAGAATGTATCTTTAGTTTGAGTGTATATATAATCTTTTCAAGTTTAAAAGGTCTTACTCTTTTATGTAAGATTGTCACTTTACCTCCTCTTTTTTTTGAGACAGAGTCTTGCTCTGTTGCCTAGGCTGGAGTGCAGTGGCATGATCTCAGCTCACTGTAACCTCTGCCACCTGGGTTCAAGTGATTCTCCTGCCTCAGCCTCCCAAGTAGCTGGACCTACAGGCGCGTGCTACCACGCCCGGCTAATTTTGTATTTTTAGTAGAGACGGGGTTTCACTGTGTTAACCAGGATGGTCTTGATCTCCTGACCTCATGATCCACTCTTCTTGGCCTCCCAAAGTGCTGAGATTACAGGCAGGAGCCACCATGCCCGGCCTGTCTCCTTATTTTGTGTAGCTTAGATACACTCTTTGATTGGACTGCTAAACTAAGTGAGAATGGCACAAATGAAGTGGGGAGACCAGACTGGTGGAGGAAAGGCTCCAGGATTTCCTTTTTGTACAGTTTTGCAGTGAAGTTTCTACCAACCCAGCCAGAGAGCATGTTCCTGTAATCAAGACGCATCTAGCCTGCTTTCAAAGGCACATGAGGCATAAAGGAGATTATTTCCCCTTCCCCTTTGACTATCCCAAAGCTGGTATCTTCTCTTTTTGGTTTGACTTTTCGTGGAATAAAATCCAGTGATATTAAACTACTTAAGACTGAGGGAAAATAAGTGGTAGGATGGTTTTTCACTTTTTTGTTGTTGTTGTTTTAGTTTGTTGTCTGTTTTAAAATAATCCTGGAGTATATCACTCTGCTTTGGGACATGGATGGTTTTAGAATAGCCTAGCCCCACTCTTTTGGGCATCTGACTTCATGTTGTGATCAGCTCTGACTTTGAGAAAGTAAAGCTGAGCTTTTAGAGGTAGTAGTGCATAGCACTGGTAAATCAGAATGTCACACGGAAGAGTCAGCCTTCAGGATTTAGTTCTTTTTTTTTTTTTTTTTCTTTTTGACACGGAATCTCGCTCTGTCACTGAGGCTGGAGTACAGTGGCATGATATCAGCTCTCTGCAACCTCTCCCTCCTGGGTTCAAGCGATTCTCCTTTCTCAGCCTCCTGAGTAGTTGGGATTACAGGCACCCGCTAGCACACCCGGCTAATTTTTTATATTTTGAATAGAGGCGGGGTTTTACCATGTTGTCCAGGCTAGTCTTGAACTCCTGATCTCAAGTGATCCACCTGCCTCAGCCTGCTAATGTGCTGGGATTACAGGCATGAGCCACCGTGCCTGGCCAGGATTTAGTTCTCAATCTCCCAGGTAGCTGGGATTACAGGTACCCACCATCACACCCAATTAATTTTTGTATTTTTAGTAGAGATGGGGTTTCACCAATTTGGCCAGGTTGTTCTTGAACTCCTGACCTCAGGTGATCCACCTGCCTAGGCTTCCCAAAGTGCTGGGATTATAGGCGTGAGCCACCATGGCCGGCCAGGATTTAGTTATTGAAAAGCAGGAATGGTAATAGTCATGCGTTTGTAGGCTAGGTATTCATTAAAGAGAAATAATGGAGACTAAAGATTGGATAGGACAGATTTCCATGTCATACCATTGTGGAAGAAAAGGCATGGATCAGTCAGTAATGCTTGCCTTATTCTTTGGTCTGTTTCTGTAGCAAAAAAGAAATTCCTGTGTTTAACTTTACCATCCATGAGATCCACTGTCAAAGGAACATTGGTATGTGTCCTATCTGCAAGGAACCATTTCCCAAATCTGACATGGAGACTCATATGGCTGCAGAACACTGTCAGGTGAGCCACCAAGTACCCAAATGTTTATACATGTGTTATATTTGCTGTTGTTCATAAATGTATTCCATTTGCTATTGTGCAATAACAAATGAGCGTATTGTCACAAAGCCAATTTATTGATTCTCGTTTCTTACTCTAGGTGACCTGCAAATGTAACAAGGAGTTGGAGAAGAGGCTGTTAAAGAAGCATGAGGTTAGTCCTCTTGCACTATGGAGTGAGTTACTATGGGACCACTCCTACTGAGATTACAGAGCCACATGCAAAGCAGAAAGCCAGTCTGGTTGAGTCTTAGTTCTCCAGGAGCTCACATGCGTCGGGTCTCTCAGAGCCTGTTTGAAGCCTTGACTATGTGACTGCTGCCAGATTCGGCTACCTGGGTGTTGGAACTCCCTTGTGTAATATTGAGACTCCCAAAGTCTCTCCCTTCGGAACTGAGTCTATCATTGCTGATGGGGTTTGGTTATTGGCAGCCTCACTGAATATGAAGCCAGCCCTGGGGTTGCCAGTATGGGATAACCTCTTTAGCACACAGCCTGCCTTAAATGTTTTCATTGCATTTTGAATTCTTGAGCACATGGATAACATGCTATTTAATCTGAATAACTTCCTTAGCATTTGGTGAGAGAGAATAGAGTATTATTTGCTCGCTTGTTGAGATAAATAAAACTGGCCAAAGGATTTTTTTTTTTTAAATAGAGACAGGGTCTTGCTGTGTTGCCCAGGTTGGTCTTGAACCCCTAGGCTCAAGTGGTCCTCCTGCCTCGGCCTGCTGAAGTGCTAGGATTACAGGCACGAGCCACTGCGCTCAGCCCAAAGTTGTTTTTCTTTTCTTTTCTTTTTTTTTTTTTTTTTGAGACAGAGTCTCTCTGTGTTGCCCAGGAGGCTGGAGTGCAGTGGCATGACCTCGGCTCACTGCACCCTTCATCTCCTGGGTTCAAGTGATTCTTCTGCCTCAGCCTCCTGAGTAGCTTGGATTACAGGCATGCACCACCATGCCCAGCTAATTTTTGTACTTTTTTTTTTCTCACTCCGTCGCCAGGCTGGAATGCAGTGGCACTATTTTGGCTCACTGCAACCTCTGCCTCCTGGGTTCAAGCAATTCTGCTTTGGTCTCCTGAGTAGCTGGGACTACAGGTGCGAGTCACCATGACTGGTGATTTTTTTCTATTTTAGTAGAGATGGCTTTTCACCATGTTGGCCAGGATGGTCTCAATCTCTCGACCTCGTGATCCAGGCACCTTGGCCTCCCAAAGTGCTGGGACTACAGCTGTGAGCCACCATAGCTAGCCTAATTTTTATATTTTTAGTAGAGGCAGGGTTTCACCATGATGGCCAGACTGGTCTTGAACTCCTGACTTAAGTGATCCACCCACCTCAGCCTCCCAAAGTTCTAGGATTACAGGTGTGAGCACCGTGCCTGTCCCAGTTTTTTGTTTTTTTTTTTTTAATTAAAAACTTTGAGACAGGGTCTCACTCTGTCATCCAGGCTAGCATGCAGTGGCATGATCATAACTCACTGCAGCCTCAGATTCCTGGGTTCAAATGATCCACTCACATAGATGAGACTATAGGTGTCGGCCACTGTGCCTGAGTAATTTTATTTATTTTTGTTTTTCATAGTGTTGGGGTCTCGCTATGTTGCCCAGGCTAGTTTTGAACTCCTGGCCTCCTTGGCTTTCAAAGTGATAATATTACAGGCATGAGCTATGGCACCTGGCCAGAACTGGTCAACATTGAATGAGTATGTTAATTCTCCAACTTAAAAACTGGAGAAAATTCACCAATTAAAAAATCTGAACAGTTGTTTATGTAGTAGTTATACAAGAGTGGATATACATATATAAAAATTCACCAAGGTATGTACTTAAAGATTTATGCGTTTCATTCTATGTGCCTCAAACTGTAACAATTTTATTAATTTATAATTAAATTACCCTTAATTTAAAAGATAATTCAAGACAGGCTACAGTGACTCAAGCCTGTAATCCTAACACTTTGGGAGACCAAGGTGAGAGGACTGCTTAAACTAAGGAGTTCAAGACCAGTCTAGGCAGTATCATGAGACCCCCATCTCTACAAAAAATTAAAAAATTAGCTGGGCATGGTGGTACATTCCTATAGTCCCAGCTGCTCAAGGGGCTGAGGTAGGATATTGTTTGAGCCCAGAGGTTGAGGCTGCAGTGAGCCCTCTTTGTGTCACTGCATTCTAGCCTGGGGGACAAAGTGAGACCCTGTCTCAAAAATAAATAAATAAATAAAATAATAATAATAATAACAATTAAAAGGCCTGGCTCAGTGGCTCATGCCTGTATTCCTGGCACTTTGGATCACCTGAGGTGAGGAGTTTGAGATCAGCCTGGTCAACATGGTGAAACCCTGTCTCTAACAGTCATTGGCTGCCAAAAAGAAAAAAAAAAAACCCTGTCTCTACTAAAAATACAAAATTAGCTGAGTATGGTGGTGTATGCCTGTGATCCCAGCTACTTGGGAGGCTGAGGCAGGAGAATTGCTTGAACCAGGGAGGCAGAAGTTGTAATGACCAGACTGTGCCATTGCAATCCATCCTGGGCAACAAGTTCAAAACTTCATCTCAAAAAATAAATAAATAAAAAGGTAGTTCATATTTGTTGTAGAAAATTTGAAAAATAGAAATTATAAAAAGAATAAGAACCATTCATAACTCTAGAGCTTAGAGAAAAACATCTCAAATAAATACCTTGGCACTCTGACTTTCATTTTTTTTTTTTGAGACTGAGTTGTGCTTGTTACCCAGGCTGGAGTGCAGTGGCGTGATCTCAGCTCACTGCAACCTCTGCCTCCTGGGTTCAGGCAATTCTCTTGCCTCAGCCTCCTGAGTAGCTGGGATTATAGGCATGCACCACTATGCCCAGCTGATTTTTTGTATTTTTAGTAGAGACGGGGTTTCACCATGTTGACCAGGATGGTCTTGATCTCTTGACCTCGTGATCCACTCACCTCGGCCTCCCAAAGTGCTGGGATTACAGGTGTGAGCCACCGTGCCCGGCCCCATTTTTTTTTTTCTAAGCATTTGATGTATGTTTTACTAGGACTCATCAGCCTGGGGGGGTATGATTGAGGTCACTTTAACAATAATAGTGTTTCTCTGGCTCTAGTATCTGCCTGCTGTCTAAAACAACCTTTAATAAAATTTCCTTCTCGTAAGGTTCTCTCAGCTATTTCTAGGAGTCCCACAGTGATAGACCAATTATTACGCATGTACCGGGTACAAAGTGTTCCCTAACAGTCCTGCTAGTCAGTATGACAATTTTAGACCAGAGATTGCCTATCTATAATTTTTACTTTGTTTGCTGTTCTGGTAAGTTACTAGTACTTTTTTCTCTTTCTAGCAATTCATTCCTTCAACACAATACTTTTTAGGGTTGTTAAGAAGTTGCTGTATTAAATGGTATGAATGAGCAATTATTTGTTTCTTTGCTATTGAGTAATTTAAATCAGTGATTTTTTTTTTCCTATTGATAATTTGTTGGATTTTTTTTTTTTTTTTTTAAGACTGAGTCTCACTCCGTCACCCAGGCTGGAGTGCACTGGCACGATCTCAGCTTACTGCAATGTCCACATCCCAGGTTCAAGTGATTATCCTGCCTCAGCCTCTCGAGTAGCTGGGATTACAGGCATGTGCTACCATGCCCAACTAATTTTTTGTTTTTTGAGATAGAGTTTCACTTTTGTTGCCTAGGCTGGAGTGCGATGGAGCAATCTCGACTCACTGCAAACTTTGCTTCCAGAGTTCAAGCGATTCTCCTATCTCAGCCACTTGAGCAGCTGGGATTACAGGTGCCTGCCACCATGCCTGGCTAATTTTTGTATATTTGGTAGGCATGGGTTTCATCATGTTGGCCAGGCTGGTCTCAAACTGCTAACCTCAAGAGATCTGCCTGCCTTGGCCTCCCAAAGTGCTGGGATTATAGGCGTTAGCCACCATGCCCAGCCCGAAAAGCTCTTTTATTTAAAAAAGTCACTGATTTACCAGGAGCAGTGGCTTACACCATAATCCCAGCACTTTGGGAGGCCAAGACAGGTGGATCACTTGCGGCCAGGAGTTCAAAACCAGCCTGGCCAACATGGTGAAACCCCACTCTACCAAAAATATAAAAATTAGCAGGGAGTAGTGGCATTCACCTGTAGTCCCACCTACTTGGGAGGCTGAGGCAGGAGAATTGCTTGAACTTCGGAAGTAGAGGTTGCATTGAGCTGAGATCACACTGCTGTACTCCAGCCTGGGTGACAGAGTGGGGAAAAAAAGCTTTTGAGAAAAAAACTTTCTCAATCAGCATTGTATCTACATGATATAGAATTTTATTTTTTAACTTTTTCTTTTATTATTTTTTGAGACAGGATCTCAAGGCTGGAGTGCAGTGGTGTGATCATGGTTCACTACAGCCTGGGCTGTAGCGATCCTCCCACCTCAGCCTCCCAGGTATCTGGTACCACAGGCATGTGTCATCACGCCAAGCTAGGTTTTTTGTTTTATTTTTTTATTTTGTAGAGACAGGGTCTCCTTATGTTGCCCAGGTTGATCTCAAACTCCTAGGCCCAAGCAATCCTCCTTCCTTGGCCTTCCAAAGTGCTAGGATTATAGGTGTGAGCCACTGTGCCCAGCTGATATACAATTTTTTTTTTTTTTTTTTTTTTTTTGAGACAGAGTTTTGCTCTTGTTACCCAGGCTGGAGTGCAATAGCGCTATCTTGGCTCACCGCAATCTCTGCCTCCTGGGTTCAGGCAATTCTCCTGCCTCAGCCTCCTGAGTAGCTGGGATTATAGGCACGTGCCACCGTGCCCAGCTAATTTTTTTATTTTTTATTTTTAGTAGAGATGGGGTTTCACCATGTTGACCAGGATGGTCTCGATCTGTTGACCTCGGGATCCACCCGCCTCAGCCTCCCAAAGTGCTGGGATTACAGGCTTGAGCCACCGCACCCGGCCCGATATACAATTTTAAAGCCCAAAAAGGATATATGTAAAAGTCATTTCTTCATTATTTATTTATTAAAAAAAGAAAAATCATGTCTCTCTACCCCTGTTCCTCAGCTACCTAAGCCCATTTCCTATTTATTTATTTTTAAGACGGAGTCTTGCTCTGTTGCCAGGCTGGAGTGCAGTGGCACGATCTCAGCTCACTGTTATCTCCGCCTCCTGGGTTCAAGCGATTCTCCTGCCTCAGCCTCCCGAGTAGCTGGGACTACAGGTGAATGCCACCACACCCTGCTAATTTTTGTATTTTTTGTAGAATGGTGTTTCACCATGTTGGCTAGGATGGTGTTAATCTCTTGACCTCGTGATCTGCCTGCCTCAGCCTCCCAAAGTGCTGAGATTACAGGTGTGTGCCACTGTGCCTAGGCTACCTAAGCCCTTTTGATCAATTTATTGTGTTTTATGTAAGGTAGTTCATGCATATACAAACAGTGCTGAAAATGGAGTAGCGTTTAGAATAGAACTTTAATTTTTTTTTTTTTGAGACAGAGTTTCACTCCTGTTATCCAGGATGGAGTACAATGGCATGATCTTGGCTCACTGCAACCTCTGCCTCCTGGGTTCAAGTGATTCTCCTGCCTCAGCTTGCCAAGTAGCTGGGATTACAGGTGCCCGCCACCACATTCAGCTAGTTTTTTGTTGTTGTTGTCGTCGTTTTGAGACAGTTTTACTCTTGTTGCCTGGGCTGGAGTGCAGTGGTACAATCTTGGCTTATCACAACCTCCACCTTCAGGCAATTCTCCTGCCTCAGCCTCCTAAGTAGTTGGAATTACAGGCAGGCACCACCATGTCCAGCTAATTTTGTATTTTTAGTAGAGCTGGGTTTCTCCATGTTGGTCAAGCTGGTCTCAAACTCCCCACCTCAGGTGATCTGTCCACCTTGGCTTCTGAAAGTGTTGGGATTACAGGATTGAGCCACTGTGCCTGGCCTAATTTTTGTATTTTTAGTAGAGATGGGATTTTACCAAGTTGGCCAGGCTGATCTTGAATTTCTGACCTCAGGTGATCCACCCGCCTTGGCCTCCCAAAGTGCTGGGATTATAGGTGTGAGCCACCGTGTTTTTTTTTCTTAAATTGAGATGGAGTCTTGCTCTGTCACCCAGGCTAGAGTGCAGTGATGCAATTTTGGCTCACTACAACCTCCGCCTCCCAGGTTCAAGCGATTCCTGTGCCTCAGCCTCCCAAGTAACTTGGATTGCAGGCATGTGCCACCATGTCTGGCTAATTTTTCTATTTTTTTTTTTTTTTTTCTGAGATGGAGTTTTGCTCGTTACCCAGGCTGGAGTGCAATGGCACTATCGTGGCTCACTGCAACCTCCGCCTCCTGGGTTCAAGCAATTCTCTTGCCTCAGCCTCCCAAGTAGCTGGGACTACAGGTGTGCGCCACCATGCCCAGCTAATTTTTGTATTTTTAGTAGAGATGGGGTTTCACCATGTTGACCAGGATGGTCTCGATTTCTTGCCCTCGTGATCCACCCGCCTCAGCCTCCCAAAGCGCTGGGATTATAGGCATAAGCCACTGCGCCCGGCAATTTTTCTATTTTTAATAGAGATGGGGTTTCACCAGGTTGGTCAGGCTGGTCTTGAACTCCTGACCTCAGGTGATCTGCCCTCCTTGGTCTCCCAAAGTGCTGGGAATGCAGGCGTGAGCCACTGTGCCTGGCAATTTATTTATTTATTAATTAGACAGTTTTACTCTGTTGTCCAGGCTGGAGTGCAGTGGAGTGATACTGTCTCACTGCAACCCTGCCTCCCAGGTTCAAGCAATTCTACTGCCTTAGCCTCCCAAGTAGCTGGGATTATAGGGATGTGCCACCACACCTGGCTAATTTTTGTATTTTTAGTAGAGTTGGGGTTTCACCATGTTGACCACGCTCATCTTGAACTCCTGATCTCAAGTGATCTGCCTGCCTTGGCCTCCCAAAGTGTTGGAATTACAGGCATGAACCACCATACCCAACCTAATTTGTTTTTTGAGTTTCTCTCTGTTGCCCAGGTTGGAGTGCATTGGCACGATCTCAGCTCACTGCAGCCTCCACCTCCCGGGCTCAAGTGATTCTTGTACTTCAGCCTCCTGAGTAGCTGGGATTATAGGTGTGTGCCACCATGCTCAGCTAATTTTTTTTTTTTTTTGAGACGGAGTTTCACTGTTGTTACCCAGACTAGAGTGCAATGGCACGATCTTGGCTCACCGCAACCTCCTCCTCCTGGGTTCAAGCAATTCTCTTGCCTCAGCCTCCTGAGTAGCTGGGACTGCAGGCACACACCACCATGCCCAGCTAATTTTTGTATTTTTAGTAGAGACGGGGTTTCACCTTGTTGACCAGGATGGTCTCGATCTCTTGACCTCATGATCCACCCGCCTCGGCCTCCCAAAGTGTTGGGAGTATAGGCATGAGCCACTGCGCCTAATTTTTTTTTTTTTTTGAGACGCAGTTTCACTCTCACCCAGGCTGGAGGGCAGTGGAGTGATCTCGGGTCACTGCAACCTCCGCCTTCTAGAAGAGATTACAGGTGTGCACCATCACGTTCAGCTGATTTTTTATTTTATTTTTAGTAGAGACAGGGTTTTGCTATGTTGGCCAGGCTGGTCTCGAATTCCTGACCTCAAGTGATCTACCCACCTCAGCCTGCCAGAGTGCTGGGATTACAGATATGAGCCACCGTGCCTGACCCAAATTTAATTTGTATGAAAAGAAGTTTGTGCTCTTTGGCATGGTGGTTATAAAGTATCTAAATTTTTGAAGTGATGTTACATTAAAGTTCTAAGTTTAATATTTCTTTTTTTTGGAATGAACATGTCATAGTAACATTTTTTATCTTTCTAATGTTTTTAGTGCTTTAGTGACAGTTTCCAATTTAGTATAAAGGTTTTGTCCCTCATTTACTGAGTCTGTTTACACCTTTTGGGTCATTGTCATTGGTGATTCCTCGTTTATTTGGTCCATTTAAAGCCTGTGCTAATGGCCAGACATGGTAGTTTATGCCTGTAATCCCAGCTCTTTGAGAAGCTGAGGTGGGCATATCACTTGAGGCTGGGAGTTTGAGACCAACGTGGCTAACGTGGTAAAACCTCTTCCCTGCTAAAAATACAAAAAAAAAAATTAGCCAGGTGTGGAGCATGTACCTGTGGTCCCAAGCTACTAAGGAAGAAGAAGCACAAGAATTGCTTGAACCTGGGAGGTGGAGGTTATAGTGAGCTGAGATTGCACCATGCACTCCAGGCTGGGCAACAGAACAATACTCTGTGTCAAATAATAATAATAACTCCAGTCTGGGCGACAGAGCAATACTCTGTCAAATAATAATAATAACAAAGCCTGTGCTAAATACAAATATGAAGGTTGAGAAACCTGTGTCTTTCTAAAGTGCAGTTTTTTCTTCCTCATTGCTAGGTACTTAAGACTGAATTGGAGTAGTAGGGGACATTGGTGGAGCTCTGACAAACATCTGAATTGCTGTGATTCTTGTTATTTGCTCCTGGACTTCTCTGGCTGGGTTTAGATAACTTAGTAATGGGTGCACTAAACAATATGATAGTTGGGATGGCTGAATAGGCTCCCTCTAAGATTTTATTTTCCTTTATAGAACATTGGGGCAGGAACAAAAGCAGAAGCTATCACTCTTAAATATTAAGTCCATAAAAAAACATGGCACTTTGGGAAGCCAAGGCTGGCAGATCATGAGGGCAGGAGATTGAGACCATCCTGGCCAACATGATGAAACCCCGTCTCCGTTAAAAATACGAAAATTAGCTGGGTGTGGTGGTGCGCGCCTGTAGTCCCAGCTATTTGAGATGCTGAGGCAGGAGAATCCCTTGAACCTGGGAGGCAGAGGTTGCAGTGAGTTGAGATTATGCCACTGCACTCCAGCCTGGCAACAGAACCAAATTGTCTAAAAAACAAACAAAAAAAACATGGCATGAGAATCTAGGGTTGGAAGAGATGATTAAAGTAGATACTTTTTGCTTTTCCTACCCTATACTAAAACATGCTTTTCCTAGATATGCATATTAACTGCCTCATTCCTCTCTTTTGTAGGAGACTGAGTGCCCTTTGCGGCTTGCTGTCTGCCAGCACTGTGATTTAGAACTTTCCATTCTCAAGTTGAAGGAACATGAAGATTATTGTGGTGCCCGGACAGAACTATGTGGCAACTGTGGTCGCAATGTCCTTGTGAAAGATCTGAAGACTCACCCCGAAGTTTGTGGGAGAGAGGGGGAGGAAAAGAGAAATGAGGTGGCCATACCTTCTAATGCGTATGATGAATCTTGGGGTCAGGATGGAATCTGGATTGCATCCCAACTCCTCAGACAAATTGAGGCTTTGGACCCACCCATGAGGCTGCCGGGAAGGCCCCTGAGAGCCTTTGAATCAGATGTTTTCCACAATAGAACTACCAACCAAAGGAACATTACATCCCAGGTTTCAATTCAGAATAATCTCTGTGAGTCATGATTGGGATTAGGGAACTGGAATTATCCCAGGGCAAATGGGAACAGGGCTGTGGGGCCAGATAGGTTTTGATTATAGAAACCTGCCTATAACTGGGTAACACTGGAAGAATACCTAACTTTACTATAAAATGGAAATAACCTCTCTTGGATTATAGTTAGGGCTCAAAATGGTGAGAATGATGACAGTGTTGTAAATAGCCAACACATATACAGATTGAGTATCCCTTATCCAAAATACTTGGGGCCAGAAGTGTTTTAGCTTCTGAAGTATTTGCATTGTACATACTGGTTGAGCATCTCAGATCTGAGAATCTGAAATCCAAAATGTTCCAGTGAACATTTTCTTGTTGTTGTTTTTGTTGTTTTGAGATGGAGTCTCACTATTGTTGCCCAGGCTGGAGTGCAGTGGTATGATCTCGGCTCACTGCAACCTCTGCAGTGAGCATTTTTGAGAGTCATATTGATGCCCAGAAAGTTTTGAATTTTGGATTTTTGGGTTGGTATATTCAACCTGTATCTTATTTCCCTCAGGCATTTACAAAGTGCTTTACATGTATTAACTCATTTAATTTCTCTCATTATTTGAAGGTAGGTAAATTTGAAGGTAGAACTGAGATTTAAATTCAGGTAATCTGACCTCGTGCTTTAAACCATTCCATAATGCAAAAAATAATAATAAAATGTTTAGCACAGCGCCTGTCTCATAATTATGGCTCAGTAATATTGTTTAACAATACAATTAGAACTTAGCAGCTAGTAGAAACCCCACATAGATAGAAAAAAAAAAAGAAAACAAAATAACAATACAATTAGAATAATAATGGAGCCTTTTCACATGGCAGACTTTAATGTTCAGAGCTAGGACACCCAGAGGGTGAAGAGAGCTAGTTGAGCTTGGTCATTTTCGTTCTGTACGGACGTCTGTAAACCTTGACTGTTTGCTAGGCATTTCTAATGTATCTTGAATGCTGTTTTTTTTTTTTTTTTTCAGTTGAAGAACAAGAGAGGCAGGAAAGGAATAGAGGTAGACAGCCCCCCAAAGAGGGTGGTGAAGACAGTGCAAACTTGGACTTCATGTTGGCTCTAAGTCTGCAAAATGAAGGCCAAGCCTCCAGTATGGCAGAGCAGGACTTCTGGAGGGCTGTATGTGAGGCAGACCAGTCTCATGGCGGTCCCAGTTCTCTGAGTGACATAAAGGGTAGGCTTGCTTTTTCTGCACTAGCTTCTTTCTCTATAGTTTTTGTAAGTTTTAGGTTATACAATTAATATACAATTGAAAGATTTTAATGAGATAGAATTTGCTTTATTCTTTTTCTTTTCTCTTTTTTTTGGCGGGGGGGACAGTTTTGCTCTGTCGCCCAGGCTGGAGTGCAATGGCATGATGTTGGCTCACTGCAGCCTCTGCCTCCTAGGTTCAAGTGATTCTTGTGCCTTCGCCTCCTGATTACCTGGGATTACAGGCGAACACTTGAACTGAGGAGGTGGAGGTTGCAGTGAGCTGAGATTGGGCCACTGCATTCCAGCCTGGGTGACAGAGAGAGACCTTGTCTACAAAAAAAAAAAAAAAGACTATAAAGAACATTATTGTATAAGTAGTGAACTTACATTAAATTTCCTGAGAATGACATTTGTATTGTTTACATAGGAGAAAGCAATGCCCTTGTTCTTCAGAGACACATGACGAAGTACTTAGGAGTAAAATGTTATGTATTCAGACTTATTCTTAATTAGTTCAGGGGAAAAACTACATAAAAGTAATGTGAGGAAATATTAAACTTTGTGAATATAGATGAGGAGTATATGGGTATTTGCTATACTATTTTGAAAAATTTTTTTTTTTGGGAGATAGAGTTTCACTCTTGTTGCCCAGGCTGGAGTGCAATGGTGTGATCTCAGCTCACTGCAACCTCCACCTCCTGGGTTCAAACAATTCTCCTGCCTCAGCCTCGAGAGTAGATGGGATTATAGGCATGCACCACCAAGCCCAGCTAATTTTTTTGTATTTTTAGTAGAGATGGGATTTCACCATGTTGGCCAGGCTGGTCTCGAAATCCTGACCTCAGGTGACCCACCTCAGCCTCTCACAATGCTGAGATTACAGGTGTGAGCCACCTGAGCCCAGCCATTCTGGATAATTTCTCATCTGTCTTCTAGTTCACTGATTTTCTCCTTAGTAATTTCTAATCTGTTGTTTAATATGTCCATTAAGATTTTCACATTAGTGATTATATATTTTATTTTGAGTTCTGTTTGATCCTTTTCCTCATTGTACCTCCTAATTTTTTTTTTTTTTTTTGAGACGGAGTTTCGCTGGTGTTACCCAGGCTGGAGTGCAATGGCACGATCTTGGCTCACCGCAACCTCCGCCTTCTGGGTTCAAGCAATTCTCCTGCCTCAGCCTCCCAAGTAGCTGGGACTACAGGTGCGCACCACCATGCCCAGCTAATGTTTTTGTATTTTTAGTAGAAACGGGGCTTCACCTTGACCTTGTGATCCACCCGCCTTGGCCTCCCAAAGTGCTGGGATTATAGGTGTGAGCCACCACACCCGGCCTGTACCTCCTAATTTTTAAAATAATCTTTTGTTCCATAGTTCTCCATTTGGTGCTTTTTTTTTTTTTTTGAGACAGGATCTCACTCTGTCACCAAGGCTGGAGTGCAGTGGTGTGATCTCAGCTCTCTGCAGCCTCCCTCCCCTGGGCTCAAGTGATCCTCTCACTTCAGCCGTCTGTGAAGCTGGGACCACAGGGATGTACTACTACCTATTTTTTTGTATTTGTAGTAGAGATGGTTCCTTACCATGTTGCTCAGGCAGGTCTTGAACTCCTGAGCTCAAGCAATCCGCCCCCGTCTCGGTTTCTCAAAGTACTAGGATTATAAGCATGAATCACCACACCCAGCATATTCCCTCTTTAACATGTCTTTAAACATGTGAAATATACTTGCTTTTCTTTTGTGTCCAAAAATAGCAAAACTGTTTCTATGCTGTGTTGTTTCTGCTTCTACCATTCATGGAGGCTTGCTCTGTGTGTGTGTGTGTGTGTGTGTGTGTGTGTGTACACACCAAGTTTTCTGGCATGTTCCTCTGAGAGAATTTATATATGCTTCTGGCAGGCATATAGGGATACTAACAATAGGGGTAACTTTTTTTTTTTTTTTTTTTGAGACAGAGTCTCACTCTGTCACTCAGGCTAGAGTGCAGTGGCCCGATCTTGGCTCACTGCAGCCTCTCTGCCTCTGGAATTCAAGTGATTCTCCTGCCTCAGCCTCCAGAGTAGCTGGGACTACAGGCATGCACCACCATGCCTGGCTAATTTTTGTATTTTTAGTGGAGACGGGGTTTCACCATGTCACTTAGGTTAGTCTCAAACTCTTGACCTTAGATAATCTACCCACCTTGGCTTCCCAAAGTGTTGGGATTACAGGCATGACCACCACACCTGGCTGGCTTGTACCTTTAAAAAGCATAAATGTTGCTGAGCATTGTGTCTCATGCCTGTAATCCCAATGCTTTGGGAGGCTGAGGTGGGAGGATCATTTGAGCCCAGAAGTTTAAGAACATCCTGGGCAACAGAGTCAGACTTCATCTGTACACAAAATAAACAAAAACTATCGGGGCATGGTGGCACATGCTTGTAGTCCCAGCTAGGGAGGCTGAGGTGGGAGGATCTCTTGAGCCTGGGAGATTGAGGCTGCAGTGAGCCAAGGTCATGTCACTGCACTCCAGTAAAAAAAAAAAAAAAAAGTCAGAAATGTGAATTTATGTAAAAATAGAAACATAAAAAACGTAAGCATGGATTGTGACCTCAAACTTATGTAAGGGCCAAGCTCTAGTTACTCTACTTGGTAGAGACTTTTCTGTTTTCTACCCAGACCTAAAATCTAGGTGAGCAGAAGGGTAAATTTCCCTATATCCTCCCATTGTTCACGCTCCCATTTATTTAGCAGTCTTACTGAGGATGTTGTATCTGGGAATCTCCAATTAAAAATATATCAGTTTGTTCACTTCATTTACTTTTAGTCAAAAATTTTTGGGTATTTTGGTACTGGGAGAAGAAGTCAGGATATTGTTTGCCAGTTTGCTCAATTTCTTTATTTGTAAAATGAGGATATTGTAGGATCTACTTCATAAGTTTTTTTCTGAGGATTGAAATCATGCATGGAAAACACTTAAGATTATTGTCTACGATTATTATTACACATTTAAATAGTTTCCTTAATTAGAGTAAACTATTATTTTACTGCTACTCAGGAAATTGGGGTCAAGTACATTTCTTATTTCATAATGGAAGTTTTTGCCTAGAGTTTGTCTCTTGGATGGGTTCCCTCTGCGAATATACAGCCCCACAAATTGCTATCTATAAGAAACACTAAAGAAAGCCAGACTTCTATATAAGACCCCATAAAGGGGATAAAAGGTTGAATTCAAGTTTGTTTTTGTTCATCTTGAGTCTCATTGTGTGGCCTAATACCTAGGTGCAGCTGACGAGACCATGTTGCCTTGTGAATTTTGTGAGGAGCTCTACCCAGAGGAACTGCTGATTGACCATCAGGTCTGTTATGGATTACTTGAGGACTTTTAGTAGGAATGTGTACAGGCCATAATTGATGTTACAGGCCACGTGAGGCCTTGAACAAATCATTTTAATACAGTACCTGTGGTAGGAATAGCAAATGTTCTTTACCATGTGGTGACTGGCATACAGGTATGAAAACTTGGTCTTGGCCAGGCATGGTGGCTCACGCTTGAGCACTTTGGGAGGCTGAGGTGGGCGGATCACATGGTCAAGAGATGGAGACCATTTTGGCCAACTTGGTGAAATCCCATCTCTACTAAAAATATGAAAATTAGCTGGGCATGGTGGCACTTGCCTGTAGTCTAAGCCACTCGGAAGGCTGAGGCAGGAGAATTGCTCAAACCTGGGATGTGGACATTGCAGTAAGCCGAGATTGTGCCACTGCACTCAAGCCTGGTGACAGAGTAAGACTGTTTCAAAAAAAAAAAACCAAACTGAACAGGCAGTGGTTCACACCTGTAATCCCAGCACTTTGGGAGTCCAAGGCAGGTGGATCACGAGGTCAGAAGTTCGATACCAGCCTGGCTAAGGATGGTGAAACCCCATCTCTACTAAAAATGCAAAAATTAGCCAGGTGCCAGTAATCCCAGCTACTTGTGAGGCTGAGGCAGGAGAATCACTTGAACCCAGGAGGCAGAGGTTGCAGTGAGCCAGGATTGCACCACTGCACTCCAGCCTGGGTGACAGAGCGAGACTCCATCTTACTGCCACCTCCGCCTCTCATGTTCAAGCGATTCTCCTGTCTCAGCTTCCTGAGTAGCTGGGGACAGGTGCCTGCTACCACACCCGGCTAATTTTTGGTATTATGTCTGGCATTTCCACAACTACTAAGTAGTCCCTGTGCTCTGGATGGTGGAACGTACTTTCCCCCATAATGGAATAATATACTATTTGAATACATGGAGTTTTTGTTTTGGGAGTACCATAGAAAATCCATTAACAAAGATAATGAATATTTGTGCCTCTCTTTTACTGTATGGGTGTGGTAGGAAGAACCTTGAATCTTTTCAAATTAATTTTTAAAATGATCTCGTGAACACACTAAAAACCACAAAAATATTTAAAAATAAAGCCAACAGTTCTATGTGTATTCCCCTTTTTAGTTCCTCTTCCCAATATTAAGCATTGTCAAAATTTTATGACTTTTTCTAGAAAACATTTTAGGAATGTAGTTTTTTTTCCTTAGCCTCTGATGTTTATTTTTAACCTGTGTTTTTTGAATGACAGACAAGCTGTAACCCTTCACGTGCCTTACCCTCATTCACTACTGGCAGCTCTTCCCCCAGAGGGGTGGAGGAACCTGATGTCATTTTCCAGAACTTCTTGCAACAGGCTGCAAGTAACCAGTTAGACTCTTTGATGGGCCTGAGCAATTCACGCCCTGTGGAGGAGAGCATCATCATCCCATGTGAATTCTGTGGAGTACAGCTGGAAGAGGAGGTGCTGTTCCATCACCAGGTAAGGGTCTCTGGAGTCCCTGTTCATGTGGCTGTGTGTGTGAACCTGGGCTTCCAGAGCCCAGAACACTTCCTTAGCCCTTAAGTTGCATTCCATCCTGATAAGTAATGCACACACTTGGCTTCTGGCCATGCCGTCTTTGTGAGCTGTCTGTAGTAACCAATACCGCAGGCTTTCCAACTTTCCCTCCCTTTGGGCCACTGAAGCCATCTTATTTTACTGGTTGAGGACCAAAGAGCCAGGACTCTATTAGTAAACAGGTATGGAAGGAAGCCTTGTCAGAGGGTTTAGATGAGAGTCTCCCTGCTTTTCACCAGGTGAGTTTTTCCCATTGTGGTGGCATTTGAGACTTGCGTTTTAAGAGACCTGAGCGTCTACTTCTGGTTTTGTCCTGTGGATGACTCTCACTGGGGCCATCTGTAAGTGAGGGAGTTGGACTAGACAATCTGAAGTCATTTTTCAGCATACAGTATAGGATTCCAATCTGTTAGTGGAAGATATGTTTTCTGCCCAATGTATATTTTCTGGGGAGTGGCAATCAACACCGCAGGTACCATTTCTGTAGTTGATGCCATGCAGCTATTACTAGAACAATGTACATTTCATTTCTGTAATAAAGACTTCTGCTTTTCAGAGGCCGGGTGCTGTGGCTTACACCTGCAATCCCAGCGCTTTGGGAGGCTGAATGGGCAGATCACTTGAGGTCAAAAGTTTGAGGCCAGGTGTGGTGGCTCACACCTATAATCCCAACCCTTTGGGGGGCCAAGGTGGGCAGATCACCTGAGGTCAGGAGCCTGATCAATATGGAGAAACCCTGTCTCTATTAAAAGTACAAAAAATTAGCTGGGTATGGTGGTGCCTACCTGTAATCCCAGGTATTCAGGACACTGAGGCAGGAGAATTGCTTGAACCCAGGAGGCGGAGGTTGCAGTGAGCCGAGATCGCGCCACTGCACTCTGGCTTGGGCAACAAGAGGGAAACTGTCTTGGAAAAAAAAAAAACAAAAAACAACCAGGCATGGTGGCTCATGCCTGTTATCCCAGCACTTTGGGAGGCTGAGGTGGGTGGATCACACCTAACATGAGGTTAGGAGTTCGATACCAGCCTGACCCACATGGTGAATCCCCATCTCTACTAAAAATACACAAATTAGTCAGGTGTGGTGGCACACTTGAACCCAGCAGGTAGAGGTTGCAGTGAGCCCAGATCATGCTACTGCATTCTAGCCTGGGCGACAGAGCCAGACTCTGTCTTAAAAAAAACCAAAAAGTTTGAGACCAGCCTGGCCACTATTTTTAATGAAATCCCGTCTCTACTAAAAATACAAAAAATAGCCAGATGTGATGGCACGTGCCTGTAATCCCAACTCTCAGGAGGCTGAGGCATGAGAATCACTTTAACCTGGGAGGCAGAGGTTGCAGTGAGCCCAGATCATGCCATTTTACTCTAGCCTGGGTGACAGAGCAAGATTCCATCTCCTCTAAAAAAAAAAAGACTCCTGTTTTGGGATCAAACAGTAGTAAGTGACTGTTTACCCTCTAGGGCAGACTGAAATAAGCAACCACACAAATACATACTCTGATCAGAGTATAGAAATGCTTGCTTTTTGGCTGCTCTGAATAGTCAGTTATCTCGATTGTTCACAGTCAGTTACAGATTGAATTCCTTGTTCTACTCTTTCCCCCCTTCTCACTATTGAACTTGACTAGTCTTAAAAAAAAAAAAAAAAAAAAAAAAAACACAGAAAAAAAAAGAAAGAAATGTTTTTCTGGGCTCCAAGTCCAGCTCTTCCTGCATCGCTGCATAAATGAGAAAGTGCTTCTGTCAGTGCCTCAGGTGCTGACGGGATTGAATGCTCTATTCCACATGCGTGCTTTCTCAAAGTTCCCAGAACTTTTAGAGGTTGTCAAAGTCCCCCTCCAGATGAGGAACACCCTGCGCTCTCTTTTCTGGGAATGACTATTCAGAGGTACTAATTCTGGGTTTTCTTGTTTAGGACCAGTGTGACCAACGCCCAACCACAGCAACCAACCACGTGACAGAGGGGATTCCTAGACTGGATTCCCAGCCTCAAGAGACCTCACCAGAGCTGCCCAGGAGACGTGTCAGACACCAGGGTATTTATTAGCCAGCACTGAGCCAAGGTCGCAGGTCCACTGCTGGCTCCAGCCTGCTTACCATTTCTCACTCACTGCTCTAACATGGGGATTACCTGCATCTTGAGTTTCCAAATACACTAAGGTCTCATGGGGGACTCCTCTGCAGGTAGTTGTGGTCCCACGTTAGACTGAGCTCTCTCAAGTGAGTGGTTTTTAGGGTAGTGGCTTTGTGGACATCCATGAGATACACGTAGTAGTTCGTGCTTGCAATAAGCTTCTGGTTTCCTGTCTGTGTACTTAGTGGATTATTTGTAGATGATTTGCAGATCTTAAGGTAGCTACCCTGGGTTCCCATTTGAAGTTGAAATACACTTAGGGTACTCAAACCTATTATTTATTTTTAATTTTTTTAGAGACAGAGCCTTGCTCTGTCACCCAGGCTGGAGTGCAGTGGCATAATCATAGCTTACTGCAGCCTCAGACTTCTGAGTTCAAGGGATCCTCCCGCCTCAGCCTCCCAAGTAGCTCGGACTATAGGCACACTCTACTACACTGGCTAATTTTTTTGTTTTTGTAGAGATAGGGTCTTGCTGTAATGCCCAGGGTGATTCTGAACTCTTAGTCTCAAGCCGTTCTCCTGCCTTGGACTCTCAAAGCACTGGGTTACAGGCGTGGGCCATTATGACCGGTCTCAAACTTACTTCTTTTTCTTTTTCTTTTTTTTTTAAGACAGGGTCTCTTTGTCTTCCAGGCTGGAGTCCAGTGGCGTGATCACAGCTCACCACCACAGTCTCAACCTCCTGAGCTCAAGTGATTCTCCCACCCTTAGTTTCCTGGGTAGCTGGGACGATAGGCTGGGGACCCACCACCCCACCTAGCTAATTTTTATTTAAAAAACATTTTTTTTTTTGAGACAGAGTCTCGCTCTGCTTCCCAGGCTGGAGTGCAATGGCGTGACCCTCCGCACCCTCCGCCTCTTGGGTTCAAGTTATTCTTCTGTCTCAGCTTCCTGAGTAGCTGGGACCACAGGTGCCCACCACCATGCCCAGCTAATGTTTTGTATACTTAGTAGAGACAGGGTTTCACCATGTTGGCCAGGCTGATCTCAAACTCCTGACCTCAAGTGATCCACCCACCTCAGCCTCCCAAAGTGCAGGGATTACAGCGTGAGCCACTGTGCCTGGCCTTAAACATTTTTTGTAGGGTTTCACCACATTGCCCAGCCTGATCTTGAACTCCTGGGCTCAAGTGTTCCTCCCAGTTCAGCCTCCCAAAGTGTTGGAATTACAGGTGTGAGCCATCACACCCAGCCTCAAACTTATTACTTAAGAGCCTCAAGTCTAGGCAAGTAAATTGTTTTTACAACCTCACCACTACAAAGCCAATTAGAAATTTGGCCTGGCACGGTGGCTTATGCCTGTAATCCAGCACTTTGGGAGGCTGAAGTGAGCAGATCTCAAGGTCAGGAGATTGAGACCATCCTGGCCAACACGGTGAAACCCTGTCTCTTACTAAAAACACTAGCTGGATGTGGTGGCTCGAGCCTGTAGTCCCAGCTACTTGGGAGGCTAAGGCAGGAGAAGTTCTTGAAACCAGGAGGCGGAGGTTGCAGTCAGTGAACCAAGATCACACCACTGCACTCCAGCCTGGGCAACAGTGTGAGACTCCGTGTCAAAAAAAAAAAAAAAAAAAATTATTTTTCGGCTGGGCGTGGTGGCTCATGCCTGTGATCCCAGCACTTTGGGCAGGAGAATCGCTTGAATCCGGGAGGCAGAGGCTGCAGTGAGCTGAGATTGCACCATTGTACTCCAGCCTGGGCAACAGAGCAAGACTCTGTCTCAAAAAAAAAAAAAAAAAAAAAGATTTTTTAAGGTTTGCTTGTACGCCGCTATTGTTGGATAGTTAGGAGGCTGTCTTTGAGGACTCAGATAAGATGTGCAGAGTAGATAAATATCCCCAACTCTGCCCAGGATAAGATGTGGATTCCAGTAGCCTTTTGGGTGAGCAGTTGCCTTCTTTTTTTTTTTTGGTCTTGCCGAGGTTGTAGTGCAGTGGCGTGATCTTGGCTCACTGCAGCCTTTGCCTCCCCGGTTTAAGTGATTCTCCAGGTCTCAGCCTCCTGATTACCTGAGACTACAGGCATGTGCCACCACACCTGGCTAATTTTGTTTTTTTTTTTTCGAAACGGAGTTTTGCGCTTGTTACCCAGGCTGGAGTGCAATAGCGCTATCTCGGCTCACTGCAACCTCCGCCTCCTGGGTTCTGGCAATTCTCCTGCCTCAGCCTCCTGAGTAGCTGGGATTACAAGCACGCACCACCATGCCCAGCTAATTTTTTGTATTGTTAGTAGAGACGGGGTTTCACCATGTTGACCAGGATGGTCTCAATCTCTTGACCACCCGCTTCGGCCTCCCAAAGTGCTGGGATTACAGGCATGAGCCACTGCGCCCGGCGTATTTTTTTTTTTATAGTAGAGATGGGGTTTCACCATGTTGGCCAGGCCGGTCTCAAACTCCTGACCTCAGGTGATCCTCGTGCCTCGGCCTTCCAAAGTGCTGGGATTCCAGGCATGAGCCACCACGCCCAGCTGTGCAGTCTTCTATCCAGAATCTTTTTGTTCCTGCCCTAAACCTGGCACTATAGTCAGAGCAGGCTTTTCCCTAAAACTATTGCTGTTTTCTCTTCTCAGGAGACCTGTCTTCTGGTTACCTGGATGATATTAAGCAGGAAACAGCTAATGGGCCCACCTCTTGTCTGCCTCCCAGCCGACCCATTAACAATATGACAGCTACCTATAACCGGCTGTCGAGATCAACATCAGGCCCCAGACCTGGGTGCCAGCCCAGCCCTCCTCGTGTGCTGAAGCTCAACAACTCAGACAGCCAGGACATCCGGGGACGGAATAGAAACAGCCAGAATGGGGCCATTGCCCCTGGGCATGTTTCAGTGATTTGCCCTCCTCCAAATCTCTACCCAGAAAACGTTCCCTCTTTCCCCCGTGCGCCTGCAGGGAGATACGGAGCTAGGTAAGAATCAGTAGCCCAAGAATGGGGCTTGGGAGTAGCTGAAGTGAATATGGGCAAAGGTCTGGTTACCCTGGCTGGGCCTGGGGTAAGACTGAGGTCATTGCATGGTAAGGGGAGGAATGTGGATTTTTTCTGTGTTGTCACCTGACTCCAAAATTTATTTTGTGGTCCATGGGGTCTTGGGGGTTTGTTTTGTCTTCTAGCATAGGGCTGCTTCCTGTTACGTCTGAATTTTCTGACCTTTGCTCAGTGGCACTTCAGGAGCTCATTTTCAATTGTTTTCTTTCAGTGGTAGGAGTGAAGGTGGCAGGAATTCCCGGGTCACCCCTGTAGCTGCCAACTACCGCAGCAGAACTACAAAGGTAACATGGGCTCCGGCCTATGATGCTCAGGGGGGACTCAGTCATGGTGGGGCTGGTGTGGCTCCTGAAGTTGTAGAAGTTGCTGGGACCAGGCTGGTTGTGGCTGAAGGACTGTTCCTTTGGCATTTGAGGAGGATGTTCCTAAGGAAGTGGGACATTTTCAGGGATCCAGGGGAGGAGTACTGTTCTTTCACTTTTTTTTTTTTTTTTTTTTGGAGATGGAGTTTTGCTCGTGTCCTCCAGGCTGCAGTGCAATGGCACAATCTTGGCTCACTGCAACCTCCACCTCCCAGCTTCAAGTGATTCTCCTGCCTCAGCCTGGGATTACAAGTGTGTGCCAGCTTTTTTTTTTCTTTTTTTTTTTTTTTTTGGTATTTGTAATAGAGACAGGGTTTCACCATGTTTGCCAGGATGGTCTTCAACTCCTGACCTTAGGTGATCCACCAGCCTTAGCCTCCCAAAAGTGCTAAGATTATAGGCATGAGCCACCATGCCCAGCTTGTTCTTTAACTTTTTACGTAAAGCTTCGTTTGTGTTTTGTTGTTCAGGCAAAGCCCTCCAAGCAACAGGGAGCTGGGGATGTGGAGGAGGAAGAAGAGGAGTAATGGTGTCTCCAGAGACTTTACATCGGTTCCTGTCTTCTGTGCATAGCAGCACTTGCCGCCGTGCAGGCCCACCTCTCTGGCTCTTTGGGTGGGAGAGATTTTCCAGATTTTAGTTTTTTTCTAGGTTATGGCCATTTTGTGTCTTTTGAGGTTGTGCTGTGGGAGTATGGGTTTGAGGGAAGGGAGCAGGGTGGTGGTTGAGGAACACTTCAGCCTTAGCTGCCACCTTTTGGCAGTAGTGAAATACAAACTGCAGCCTCTTGGCTGCCAGGGACCCCTTTTGACTTACTGTTGCCACTGCCCCTTGGTGCTGTGCAGTCCCAGTGGAAGGAGGGGAAGATTTTGGAAACCTGGTACTCACCAGTGAAGTGATTATCTGCCCTGTTGGGGCCTAAATTTGGGGGCTTTTGGGCAACCTCTCCCTGTACTGCCTCTGTCCACACTTGATTGGGCCCCAGGTGTGTGTGAGGTGCTCTGGTAAGGTGCTCAGGCCACTTGCAATGTCTGTCAGTAACGAGGCTTTTGAAGATGCATTGACCTGGAGGTGAGTGAACTGGGGGCTGTGTTTTAAGCTGCTTCCTTGACATTTGGCAACACTGCCTTCTGTTCCTGGGGTAGGGGGGGCATGGATTTTTGTCCTCACTCAGTCCTCATGGGGAGGTCTGAGGGCTCCCTGTTCCCACAGGGGCTATGCTGGGCTCTGCCCCAGCCCCACGCTTGCTCTGAAAACCAAGTCTCAGAGCCCCTTCCCCTTGTTTTTATTTTACTATCATAATAATTATTATTAACTTCCTTGTAATAGAAATAAAGTTTGTACTTGGAGTTGAGCTCAGTCTTGTTCTCCTGTATGCTTTAGAGACTGCAGGGGGGCCAGGGTGGGCTGGAGTCTGCCCTGGGGTTGGGGGAGGTTAGCAGGGCTGGGCTTTCTCCGAGACTCTAGTAACCCTCACAGCTCCACCGTGAGCCCCTTCTTGGAGTATATAGGCATTAAAGGTGTAGTGTTTTAAATTGGACTTCTGAGGAAACTGACAGGCTTGCTGCAGCTCCAGTGATGATTGGGGGCTAGAGTGGGTGCCTCTGAATAGAGAAAAGCAGATTCTTCTTTAAAAGCCTCCATCCTGAGAGGAGTTGAGCCCTAGCAGGATTAGCTGTTACCCCTCAGCGTCTCAGTCTGCATAAGACCATGGAGCACTATAGGTCATTTTGAGCTCCTTTGTAGTTTTTCCAGCAAAGGAGCTGTTGGGGAGGGAAAGGTGGGAAGAACTGCTCCACTTCATAGATGGAACACTAGAGACAGGAACGATACGGCCAGTTCTTTGCAGAGGCAGGACTCTGAAAAAAATTATCCTGAGAGCAGATTGCGTGTATGCATGCACAGCCACACACACACGATACACAGTAGGGTTAGATCTTGTAGTGTGTGTCAGTTACACCTCAGTAAAACAAAATCACATTAGCTAGACTTTCATGTGTCAGGTGAAAGAAACTGGAGGCACTCAGACTTGCATGGCTTCTGGTGTCATTGAAATCCCTCTGGGACTTCAGAAAGTTGGGAGGAAGGACCCAGGACAGCACTAAGTCCTCTTCCTGGTTGGGCCAACAGTCATGTTGCCCTTAACTGTCTTTTGGGGTGTGGGGATAGACCTGCCAGAAAGTAAAACTCTCCCCACCTGCCTTTGGTTGGATTAGATGTTGAGTGAAATAGCAGTGGGTTGGTTGGTTTCACACTTTTTTTTTTAGACAAAAGTGTCTCTGTCGCCCTGGCTGGAGTACAGTGGTGTGACCTCAGCTAGCTGCAACCTCCACCTTGAGTTCAAGTGATTGATTCTCCTGCCTCAGCCTCCTGAGTAGCTGGAATTACAGGTGCACACCACCACAGTGGGCTAATTTTTGTATTTTACTAGAGATGATTTCACAGTGTTGGTCAGGCTGGTCTCAAACTCCTGACCTGAAGTGATCCTCCTACTTTGGCTTCCCAAAGTGCTGGGATTACACACATGAGCTACTGCATCTGGCCTGTTTGAACTTTTTATTTGGTATTCTCTTTTAAGGAAGAGCTGTCTGATTTCTGCTAATCTATCTTAGCTAAAATTAGAAGTCTCCTGAAAGCCTCACTTTTACTTTCTAGTTTTTATAGTCCAGTGAATGCCATTCTTTCTGACTTGGCATATAATCGGTCTCCCTTGAAGCTTTTTAGGATCTCATCTATCCCTAGTATTTTGAATTTTCTCTATATTGTATGTTGGTGTGGATTATTTTTCCATTCAGAGTGACACTTAGCACTTTCATTCTGGGAATGAAATGCTTCTTTATGTTAAGTCTTCTTTATGTTTTTCATAATTTTCTCCTGTTATTATGTTGGCAATTTCTTTGCTGTTTATTCTCTTCTTTGCAGATTTCCAATTACTGTTGGATGTTGGCCCTCTTAGACTGATCATTTTACTCTGTCTTTTTTACTTTATGGGAGATTTCCTCAGCTTTATCCTTTCATCCTTATATTAAGCTTATTTCTGATAATAAATTTTCTTTTTTTTTTCTGAGACAGTCTCACTTATTTGCCCACAGTACAGTGGCAAGATCTCAGCTCACTGCAATCTCTGCCTCCCAGATTCAAGCAGTTCTCCCACCTCCGCCTCCCAATTAGCTGGGATTACAGGCATCTGCCACCAAGCCTGACTAATTTTTGTGTTTTTAGTAGAGACAGGATTTCACCATGTTGGCCAGGCTGGCTTGAACTCCTGACCTCAGGTGATCCACCCACCTCAGCCTCCCAAAGTGCTGGGATTACAGGTGTTAGCCACTATTCCTGGCCTCTGGTAGTAATTTTCAAAACTTCTATCTTTTATCCTCTCACAGTCTCCCCCCGCCCCCGCGCCCATTTAATGGATACTTTTTCAGCATAATTGTTTTTTTGTGTCTCCTATGCTTTGTGTTGTCCATTTCCTAGGAGTTATTTTCACTTCAGTATTTTATGTTGTAGACTTTTCCTTCTGATACTTCTTGGCTGGCTATGTATGTTAAGAGTAGGGCATTTTCACTGGCAATCCCTAGATGTCAATCTCTGTAGGTCTTTTCTCTGCGTTAGTTCAGAGAGAGGTCTTACGGTCTACAGTCTAAACCTGGAGTGGCACTGGGAAAGGAGCTGGGATGTTCAATAGACAGATTTTATTTTGCTCCCATGTTTGGTCTGGTCATCCCCTCTCCAACTGCCAGGGGGCTGGAGTTGTGAGTTTCTGAGGTTGTTTCTCCAGAAATATATAACTTCTGGTCTTGTTAATTCTAACTGCTTTTAGGCTGGGCACGGTGGCTCACGCCTATAATCCCAGCACTTTGGGAGGCTGAGGTGGGTGAATCACAAGGTCAAGAGATTGAGACCATCCTGGTCAACATGGTGAAACCCCGTCTCTACTAAAAATACAAAAATTAGCTGGGCATGGTGGTGCGCGCTTGTAATCCCAGCTACTCAGGAGGCTGAGGCAGGAGAATTGCTTGAACCCAGGAGGCGGAGGTTGCGGTGAGCCAAGATCACGCCATCGCACTTCAGCCTGGGTAACAAGAGCGAAACTCCGTCTAAAAAAAAAAAAAAATTCTGCTTTTTACATGAACTTCCAATCCCTGTTTTTCCCTGGCTCGTGAGGCATCCAATTCTTCTCCATTACCTTTTTTTTTTTTTTAATTTAAAGAGAAGGCAAATAATCTTGCTCCCTATGATGATATGCTCTGGCTATTTATTATTCTTCCATCAGCTGTCCTTTTTTTTTGACAAAGTCTTGTTCTGTCACCAGGCTGGAATGCAGTGGCACAATCTTGGCTCACTGCAACTTCCAACTCCCTCGTTCAAGCAATTCTCCTGCCTCAGCCTCCCAAGTAGCTGGGATTACAGGCATGTGCCACCCTGCCCAGCTAATTTTTGTATTTTTAGTAGAGATGGGGTTTCACCATGTTGGCCAGAATGGTCTCGATATCCTGACCTTGCGACCTGACCACCTCAGCCTTCTAAAATGCTACAGGCATTTTAGGGATTACAGGCATGAGCCACACCATCTGGCCAGCTGTCCTTTTTCATAGTCATTGAAATTACAGATGTCTCTTGGTTTCCTGAAGACAGAATGTGTGCTTTTCTTTCTTGATTTCCCTGTTTTGGCATAGTTGTAAGAAACCATCTAAATAGTACAACGTTCCTATAGAAAAGTGCATGGACATGTATAGCTAAGTGTGAACACATTTGTCACCACCACCCAAATAAACAGAATGTTACTAAGATACCAGAGCACTCCTCACACTCCCAGGTCACTCTCCTCATCCTGGGACAAACATCACATGCCTTGACAGTCTATCACTATCAGTTATTACTGTCCATGTTCAACATCATCCATGGAATCCTACCATTTAGTACCCTCTTAGGTCTAGCTTCTTTTGCTGATCGTTATGTTAATAGCTCACCCATGTTGTTGCTTGTAGCAGTTTGTTCATTTTCTTCCTGTACGGTATTTCATTATATGCCAATAATTTATTCTGGCTGGCATGGTGGTTCACGCCTATAATCCCAGCACTTTGGGAGGCCAAGGCAAGTAGACTGCTTGAGGTTAGGAGTTTGAGACAAGCCTGGTCAACATGGTGAAACCCTGTCTCTACTAAAAATACAAAAATTAGCCGGGCGTGGTGGCAGGCACCTGTAATCCCAGCTACTGGAAAAGCTGAGGCATGAGTATTGCTTGAATCTGGAAGGCTGAGGTTTCACTGAGCCTAGATTACACCACTGCACTCCAGCCTGGGAGACAGAGTAAGACTCTGTCTCAAAAAAAGAAAACAAACAAACAAAAAAGAAAACATATTCTGTTGATGGACCTTCAACTTGCTTCCAGTTTTGGCTGTCACTATTAGTGCTGCTGTGAACTTTCTCATACATGCCCTTTGGTAAATGTCGGAAATTCTGTTGGCTTTATACCTATGAGTAGTATTGATGGGTTATAGGTATGTAGAGCTAGTACCAAAGTTTTCCAAAACAGGAGTAGTTTACATTTTCTTAAGCAGTGTATAAGAGTTCTGTTGTTCCACATCTTCCCCAACCATGGTATTGTCTTCCTAACCCTTTTGGTGGTGTAGTATATCACACTGTCATTTTATTTTTTATTTTTTTATTTATTTTTTCTCTTAGATCTTGAAGAATGATTATTTTTTATTTTTTGAGACAGAGTCTTGCTCAACTGCCCAGGTAGGAGTGTAATGGCACAATCTCAGCTCTCTGTAATCTGCCTCCCAGGTTCAAGCAATTCTCCTGCCTCAGCCTCCAGAGTAGCTGAGACTACAGTTGCACACCACCACACCCTGCTAATTTTTGTATTTTTAGTAGAGACAAGGTTTTGCCTTTTTGGCCAGGCTGGTCTTGAACTCTTGACCTTGACCTTAAGTGATCCTCCTCCTTCAGCCTCCCAGAGTGCTGGGATTAGAGGCGTGAGCCGCCACACCAGCTCATTGTCATTTTAATCTTTATTTCCCTGCCGACAAATGAGGATGAGTATCTTCTCTTTAGTAGATGGTACAATTTTTGACCAGTACTTATTTCTCAAGAGGCAGCCCAAGGCGATGGCCTTAGAGAGAGGGGACTCCTGTCTCTGCTCAGCAGGGCAGACAGCTTAGGCATCTTGTTCCTCACCTTGTCTAAACATAAATCTCTTTGCTGTGAGTGGTTGTGTTTGCTCCCTGTTCCTAGCACCCTTAAGCACCAGATGGGAAGGAAGGAAAGCTACCTGTTATTTGTCCAAGAGGATCCTTGCTCTGCCTATAAAAAAGACACATCTGGGACACTTCCACCAAAGTTAGCATT